CCTCACCTAACATTAACCTAACTTAACCTAAACTAATCTAAACTAATCTAACCTAACCTAATCTAATCTAACCTAACCTCACCTAACATTAACCTAACTTAACCTAAACTAATCTAAACTAATCTAACCTAACCTAATCTAATCTAACCTAACCTCACCTAACATTAACCTAACTTAACCTAAACTAATCTAAACTAATCTAACCTAACCTAATCTAATCTAACCTAACCTCACCTAACATTAACCTAACCTAACATTAACTTAACCTAACCTAATCTAACATTAACCTAACCTCACCTAACCTAACATTAACCTAACCTAATCTAAACTAATCTAAACTAATCTAATCTAACCTAACCTAATCTAATCTAACCTAATCTAATCTAAGCTAATCCAACCTAACCTAACCTAACCTCACCTAATCTAACCTAACCTAACATTAACCTAACCTAACCTAATCTAATCTAATCTAATCTCACCTAATCTAACATTAACCTAATCTAACATTAACCTAATCTAATCTAATCTAATCTAACCTAACCTCACCTAACCTAATCTAATCTAACCTAACATTAACCTAAGCTAATCTGAACCAATCTAATCTAACCTAATCCAATCTGACCTAACCTAACCTAACATTAACCTAACCTAATCTAAACTAATCTAACCTAACCTAACATTAACCTAATCTAACCTAACCTAACCTAACATTAACCTAACCTAACATTAACCTAACCTAACATTAACCTAATCTAACCTAACCTAATCTAATCTAATCTAATCTAACCTAAACTAACTCCAGACAAAGCTGCCACCAAATGTACAGTTTTAAATCAGCTGCATGTCCTCTGTCCCACAGAGAGACGAGGGGGACGTCGTCCTTCTTCTGCCGCCTCCTGCGTGTGGTCCTYCCCCTGCAGCTCCTCCTTCTCCTCCTGCTGCTGCTGCTGCTCCACTGCCTGATCCCCCTGTCGGACAGAGACCCCAGCTGCAGCGTGGCCAACAACTTCGCCCACTCCTTCTACCCCANGTGGGGTGCGGTCTGTGTAGCGTGGGGTGCGGTCTACGTACTGTGGGGTGCGGTCTGTGTACTGTAAGTCCTGACTACTTGTAGAGTGACTCTAGTCTGTGACTTTGTGTTTTCCTTGACCTTGAGTTGTTTTGAACTCTCCCACTTACCAACAGGGAATTCCCACATATAATGAAGTTGCATATGGGAGATGTAGTTGGCTGTAAAGCAGCTTATTTTGAGATTAATCCAGGATTATTGTAGTAAATCTGCTCTGCAGTGCACAACAAACAGATTAAATGAGTTTGAACTCTAAATGTTTCCTGGCAGGAGTTTCATCAGAGCCTGGACTCTCTGCTGCTGTGGTTGGCTCACACAGAGAGCTGGTGTCATGCTGTGGACGTCAAACACCTGCAGACGAGCGATGAGGCGCTGCGTCTCCACGACAACACGCTGATGGTAAGCAGCCGTCACACTCGTCACCGTTAACCAGAGCACAGTGTCAGTGAAGTGTTGGTGCTGCAGGCGCTGCAGGAGGAGCTGAGGGGCCAGCAGAGTCAGCACACCTCCCTGTGGACTCTGTGGTCACTGCTGCGACCCCGAGACACTGCTGAGGACCAGCAGGACGTCCAGGAGAAGCTCCATGTGACGAGCAACAAGCTGAAGCAGCTCAGGAAGAGGGTGGAGCAGGACCACCACAACCTGCAGCAGAGACTGGTAACTTCAGAACCTGGACCCTCACTGCAGCTTTCATAAAGTGTCAGGAAGATAATTATTGTCTTTATCCAGGAGTCTGAGGCAGCCAACAGCTCCCTGACAGGACCCTGCTCTGCAAGGTAGAAACACTTCCTGTTTTACACAAACACACTTCCTGTTTGATCAGAACCAAAAAACACTGGAGAGATGTTTCCTTTAATATTCATAATGGTCAGGTTAGTTTAAACCTAACCTAACCTAACATTAACCTAAGCTAACATTAACCTAAGCTAACATTAACCTAAGCTAACATTAACCTAACCTAACCTAATCTAACATTAACCTAACTTAACATTAACCTAATCTAATCTAACCTAACCTCACCTAACATTAACCTAACTTAACCTAAACTAATCTAAACTAATCTAACCTAACCTAATCTAATCTAACCTAACCTCACCTAACATTAACCTAAC